TTACCTGTGTGAAAGACACCTGGTAGCCAGAAATCCTGCTGAATGATACGGGATCAAATACTTTTTCCCCCTCATGAACATGCAAATCAGTGCATAATTTGTTAAGACATGCATTTCTTTTGAAATTTTTGTTGCTATTCTGTCTCTCAGTGTTACAATACACCTACCAATCGATTTTTAGGACTAGGCACATGGGAAGTGTTTATTACTCTTATTTTTCAGTTATTTTAGAATTTCACTTTAACCACCTCAATACTGGGTACTTTTACCCCCTTCCTGCCCAGGCCAATTTTCAGCTTTCAGCACTGTCACACTTTGAATGACATTGCACAGTCATGCATTACTGTAGCTATATGAAATTTTTATAATTTTTTTCACACAAATATAGATTTCTTTTGGTGGTATTCAATCACCACTGGGTTTTTATTTTTTTGCACTATAACCGAAAAAGTCCAAAAAATATTGAATAAAAAATGCATTTTGCATATTTCTCTTATAAAACTTTGCAAATAATCTTTCTTCAAAAATTTATTCTACTACATTTCTTTAGTAAAAATAACCCAAATCAGTGTTTGTTTAGTTGGTAGTCCACATACTATGGCATATATCTGAAAATCGATTAGTCCTGATGTACCAATGGCCTATCACATTTCTTGAGGCCCAAAAACGCCAGGACAATACAAATACCCCCCAAAATTACCCCTTTTTGGAAAGTAGACAGTCTGAGGTATTTAGTAAGAAGCATGGCAAAATTTTTTATGTTTTCATTTTTTGTAGAAAATAAAGAAATTTACAATTTTTAATTTTGTTATTTTACAGGTATAAAAAGGGATGTTAGCGTGGCGGTACTACATGCATCAAGTGTGTCCTAGTACTGACAGGCGGCACACGTTGCAGGCCAGTCCAGAGACTATTAAGCAAGATGGTAGACAGCAGTGTTAATGCGTGCATGGAACAGCGTGTGGTGATGATGTTTTTTGTGAACGAAGACTTAAAACCCACGGATATCTACAGAAAACTTCAAGCACAGTACGGTGATGAGATGCTAAGACGCAGTAAGAGATTTGAATGGTGTAAACGTTCCAAAGATGGCTGTACATGTCAGTGATGATCCCGCCCATGGTGGTTGCCAGCCCACAGCAGGGATATTCAATTTGTATTGCTCGATGCCCGGGATATGTAGTTCCTGGTGCCGGGCAGGTAGTTTTTTTTTTTTTTTTTTTTAACCTTTAAATCACAGGTGCCAAACTGGCGGCCCTCCAGCTGTTGCCAAACTACAAGTCCCATGAAGCAATGCCATATTGACAGTTACAAGCATGACTCCCAGAGGCAGAGGCATGATGGGACTTGTAGTTTCGCAACAGCTGGAGGGCCGCCAGTTTGACACGCTTGTAAAACAAAAAAGAAAAAAAAAAAAAAAAAAGTTACGCTCATGTACATAATACCTTAAAAAAAATGTTGAGGCCCCCACCCACACATATACACACGTACAAATGTAAAAGCACATGCCGGGACACCTACGCATGAAAACGTTGATTGCGAAACATGTTACATATTGCTGCTCACACCAGAATAAGGAGCAATAATTCTAGCACCAGACCTCCTCTAACAGTAAACTGGTGATGTGTAAGGTGCTTTAAAAGCTTCGCCTATATAAAATATAGGATACTAAAGTTTGTCACCATTTCATTTCAGATGTGTAATCTCATCTTTTACATTTTACCAAAAAAAATGGGTAATTTATTGCAGTTTTGTGCCCTACAATTACATTTTTTTACTGAAATGTTGTGTTTCCTTTATGGTAATATCGTGTGACAAATTGGAACTACCACTATTTTATTCTCTAGGATATCTGTTTTCAGGAAATATATGTTTGGGGGTTTTATGTAATCTTCAGGCCTAAAATGATTTTTTAAATGTTTGCAAAAACAATGCAAAAAATGCCCAGGCAGCAAAAACACTTCCCTTTCCTGACGAGCACCCAATCATTGGTGTAAAACATGTGGGTCTACTATAATTTTTTTCTGAAAAATTAGTTGTTTCTAATCATAACTAATTTCATACATAGGATAGAAATTAATGTATTCCAATGGCTTAAAAACTACAATCAGTGGTAGATGTACAAGACACTATTCAGAACCAAAGTTTAGTAAAAAAAAAAAAACGGTTTACAAGCTCGTACTTGATGATGGTAGCAGTTAATACAGAGGAGACTCGGGGTACTCTATAGAAGGTTTGGGGCCTGTATGCTGGGTGTAATGTTTCACAAGGTCCCTGCAGTTATCTATACTTTCTGAAGTTTTTACCAATTATTATTTTTTTTTTTTTGTAAATGGTTGATAGATCTGTACTTGAAAACAATAACTAAATTTAAACATTTATGTCTAGGTACAATTAAATCATTGCTGATGGTGTACACTCCATGTCCATTGCACCTTTTCAAATCCTCACGCAATCTTTACTGAATGCTCCTAGTAGCCCTGTTGTCATTAGACCCTCCATGAACAGCGTCATAAACAAATCAGACAGGCTTTGAACTAGTGAGGCAATATTAATTAACCTGACAACACAATCTAAAACCTAATAGTGCTGCTACTCCATCTTGCCACTCTATTCATTATCTCAAAATGGAACCAATTCAGGAGTTAGAACTTAAATAATTAGCATTCGTCGGCAAACTTGGTGGCTCATTAAATTTCAGAAGTCTGTGCACTTTTTGAACCTTGTGCATTCATACACTCAAAATGCCAAAGTAATTACTGCACAACAATACACTCTTCTGTTGCTGTTGCCTGGCACCTTTTTAACCCACACAACACTTGGCAAGTCTTCCAATGATAAATGACTATTTCATGCAATTACCAAGATTTACTTAATTTTCTTGTCTGTGCAGCAGTGGTATCTGTTTGTAAGCTCATGGAGGACCTATAACCTCATTTTATGTTAACACGCAACGTGTTAATGTTTTTGAAAAACACCTTTTAAGTATAGCTTGTAATTATATATGTACATAGGGGAACCACATACTGCATAAACAGGCTTTGCTTTCTGCGGTTCTTATCTCAATGATACGGAATGCAGAATACAACTAACACTCTGTTGTAGCAATCGTACATACAGAGATGGACGTGGTCATCCATCTTGCTCAAGACCCTCCATCTTGTATCTCTCTCCCCTTCCAACCTCCCTCCTCAGGAATGTGGTCTGTGTGTATGCCGAGTTCAAAAGCCATCAGGCCCCAGCTGGAGAGCTTCATGGTTATAAATCCCAAATTAGCTGGTGCCCAGGTGTCTGTTAGCTTCTCAATCTAAGATAATTGTAAAACCATAAACCAGTCCTTCACTGGGCTTCAAAGACATTCCAGCTAGCCATAAAACAGACCTCACATTTAAAACCCACTTTTCCATATAAATTTGTATCTTAAGGTAGGAAATAATTACATAAACATAAAGCATATATTCGGATAGCTCAGTTTAATGTGAGTCGTCTGATATCTTACACCCTTAGTGGAAGTCTACAGGAGAGCAGAAAGCCATATAGTTCTAGCTGGAATATTCAAATATGGCATGTTTGATATCTAGTCGTTCAGCAGATGATTCTGCATATTAATCTACCCGTGGATAGAATGTTACATGTACCTAGGGAAGGTTATTGCCCTGGTATAACTTGAGGGATTTTGGTTCTAGCTGGAGTCCCCCACCTACAACACCCCTCCCCAAATGAGGCGATTGGTTCTCTGCTGTAAGGAGACACCCTGCTGAGTTCCTAGAAAAAGGCTGTTATGCTTGGAGCAGTGAGTTGAGTTGAAGAAATCTCCCTTTTAACATCGGAACCAACTTGGGAGAACGGCACCCTTTTGCTCTGAAACTTGATCTGCTTAACCCAGGACTTTTGGCAAGTACTCTACCTCTCTAAAACTTCTGTTATCTCTTTGCTGTGTTATTACGCTCTGTATTTATACGTATGTTATATATATATATATATATATATATATATATATATATATATATAGTTGATTACATACTGTAGATGTATAAAAGGTAGTTCTAAAAGAAAACATATAGCTGCTTACATTTCTATTTCTTTCTGACTCATTTACTGGGCTGTGTTTAGACAGACCAGTACCTTGGAATTTTGCAGAGGAGCTTGTGATAAGCCACTCGCACTTCACACAATTTATTGAATGCAGATTCTCAAATCCTTTAAGTTTGCCTCAAAATGCCTGTGCCACAATTCCGCTGTGTGACGAGACATCTAGCTAACAAGTGGGAATCCTCACTTTCGTCATTTACGGCGTGTACTGCTAGTAATACGAAGTCATGTCAGAGCTTACTGAGCTTAGAAGAATGCAAATTGTTGGTACCTGCTTTGCTGGTGCCTCTGACTGAAATTGCCAATTTATTTGCCGTGTCGAGGTACAGTATCAAAAGGATATGACAACATATACAGTTTCCAGAAAAATGTAATTTCATAAGCACCGAAAGAGACAAAAAGGACATTGTGCAGGGTTGTGATGCGGAATAAGAAAATAACTGCTGCAAAAGTGACTGCAGAGCTCAATCTCACTCTTCACGGGACTAATATATAGGCCTAACCAATCAAATCCACCATCATGTGCAAATGCTCAAGGCTGGCAACACTAAGCCCTGCAAAATGGAGACAGGAGGAGTGCGTTTATTCTTCCTATACTAGGACCTTTGGGTTTATTATTATGAAAAAACATATCTAACATAACTATCTGCAGCAATTAGAAATGACACATTTTACATCACAGTCAGTGAGATTTCATGACATTTGTTCATTACAAATCAGGATTAACAGTTTGCAAAATCTGTTCAGTAGTTTCAGTTAAGGGCTAAGAAAATCTGTGATACAGCAGTGTTAATAGGGGACTAAGCCATTTTGATAAAAAAAAAGCTGATTAATATATTGCTCTACGCCAACTGATAGGCTGCATGCTGATTCCCTGGACAAACTGGCTGAAATCTTCTACACAATTATTACCTGTGTTCCATGATCTTATTTCTGGGTAATTCCTTCCAGAATTGTGCCAATTCCTGTGTTCCTGTACCAGATGAATGCTCCATTTCTGCAGCCATCACTAAAAAGCGATCTTGCAGTGATGCTATGGAGGCTTTGAAAGGACACACAAAAAAAAAAAAAAATACAAGGAACAAAACCATTAATAAGCAGAAAGTGTGGAGATTACAAGCAGAATACATTTTCTTTTGCATATTTATGGCACTTCATTATGGATGTAGAGCACAGTTGTTCTAAGTGAAAGGATTCTCTTTGTATATGCAGTGCAATCCATCAGAAGCCCAGTCTGTCATGACAAGGTCTTGAGCTTTCCTTACGTTATCAAACTTAGAAGATGAAAAGAACATAACTAAAACTTTCTGCAACATATAGCATTTTCAGTATCTTAAAATGGCTGGATTTTCCAATTTTCTATAAAAAAAAGGAGCCTTGTCTGTGTTAACACTGACATGATGCCATTGTAAAATGTAATCCAATGTTCTACATGCAGTGAAGGAAATAAGTATTTGATCCCCTGCTGATTTTGAATGTTTGCCCACTCACAAAGAAATGATCGGTCAAAAAACCAAATGGTAGGTGTATTGTAACACTAAGACAGAATAGCAACACAAAATTCAAAAGAAATGCATGTCTAACAAATTGTACACTGATTTGCATGTTCATGAGGGAAAAGTATTTGATCCCCTTCACAAAACATGACTTAGTACTTGGTGGCAAATCCCTTGTTGGCAATCACAGAGGTCAGACGTTTACTGTAGTTGGCCACCAGGTTTACACACATCTCAGGAGGGATTGTGGCCCACTCCTTTTGGCAGATCCTCTCCAAGTCATTAAGGTTTGGTGGCTGACGTTTGGCAACTAGAACTTTCAGCTCCCTCCACAGATTTTCAATCAGATTAAGGTCTGGAGGAGACTGGCTAGGCCACTCCAGGATCTTAATGTGCTTCTTCTAGAGTCACTCCTTTGCTGCCTTGGCCGTGTGTTTTGGGTCACTGTCATGCTGGAACCCCCATCCATGACCCATTTTCAATGCCCTGGCTGAGGGAAGAAGGTTCTCACCCAAGATTTGACGGTACATTGCCTTGTCCATTGACCCTTTGATGCAGTGCAGTTGTCCTGTCCCCTTAGCAGAAAAACAAAGAGCTCGATTTTGGTCTCATCTGACCACAACACTTTCAACCAGTCCTCTGCATCATTCAGATGTTCAGTGGCAAACTTCAGACGGGCCTGGACATGTGCTTTCTTGAGAAGAGGGACCTCGCAGGCACTGCAGGATTTCAATCCTTGTTGGCATAGTGTGTTACCAATTGTTTTCTTGGTGACTGTGGTCCCAGCTGCCTGAAGATCATTGACAAGATCCTCAAGTGTAGTTCTGGGATGATTCCTCACTGTTCTCATGATCATTGACACTCCAAGAGGTGAGATCTTGCACGGTGCACTAGATCTAGGGAGACTGACAGTTGTTTTGTGTTTCTTCAATTTGCGAATGATTGCACCAACTGTTGTCACCTTCTCATCAAGCTGCTTGGCGATAGTTTGGTAGCCCAGTCCAGCCTTGTGTAGGTCTACAATCTTGTTACCTGACATCCCTGACAGCTATTTGGTCTTTGCCATGGTGGAGAGTTTGGAATCTGATTGTCTGATTGCTCCCGTGGACAGGTGTCTTTTATACAAGTAACAAAATGAGATTAGCAGCACTCCCTTTAAGAGACTGCTTCTCATCTCAGCTTGTTACCTGTATGAAAGACACCTGGTAGCTAGAAATCCTGCTTAATGATAGGGGATCAAATACTTATTTCCCTCATGAACATGCAAATCAGTGCATAATTTGTTAGACATGCAATTCTTTTAAATTTTTTGTTGCTATTCTGTCTCTCAGTGTTACAATACACCTACCATTCAATTTTTAGACTGATCATTTCTTTGTGAGTGGGCAAACATTCAAAATCAGCAGGGGATCAAATACTTATTTATATTATGTATAATTTCTTCACAAATGTGTTGGAAACCATTACAAAGGAATTAATCTAACAAAGGTGCAATTTGATCTGCTGGTCTCTTAAAGTGTTCATGCACAGGCTGAATATTGGTCAAAAACCATAACAGTTTAATCTGGTTATATCATTACCCCTATTTTTCAGATAAAATACATATACAGGTGCTATATAGGGAAAACCACTAAGCTAATCAGAGAAATATTAATAAATAATGTATACCAATATTTAATCATTTTTGACATATTGGAAATGGCTTATGCACGCAAATGATACATGGTTTAAAACAATTATATAAATAGTATCTAGTACATAATATGCTCCTACTTGCTAAAGTGTATCTGTAGAATACAGATGTACAGTATATTAAGAGGGATAGGCTAGGGACATAGTGGTGAGAATATTAATAATAGAAAAAATGCATTTGAGACTACTTAAAATGGTTTTAAAAGGTAAAGGTTTTTTACCTTAATGAATTCTATGCATCAAGGTAAAAAAAAAAAAAAAAAAAAAAAACAAAAAAAACAAAAAAAAACTTCCCTGTGCAGCCCTCTTACACTTACTCAAGCCCAATCTCGATCTAGCGCTGTGCACAAGAGGAGCAGCTCCCTCCACTCCCTCTCCCGTCATGGGAGAGACAGCAGCAGGAGCCATTGGCTCCTGCAGCTGTCAATCGCAGCCAGTGAGGAGAGAGCGGGGGGCAGGGCGAGCCATGCTCTGTGTGTCAATGTGACACAAACATCACAGCTCAGGAGCGAATCTGCAAGAGTGCCTCCCATAGCATGCGGCTTGCTATGGGGTTACTCAGCAGGACAGAGGAGCCAGGGACACTGGTGGGGGACCCCAAAACAGGTAAGTATAACATTTAAAAAAAAAAAAAAAATATCTTAACAAAACCCCAAACAAATAAATAAATCGCTTTAAACTTTGATTTTACCTTTAAGAGCAGGAACATCAAAAGTGCCCCTATTACCTAAAATGTGCTGAACAGTCTCTCTTAAGCTTTCTCTTAACAGGGAATTGACTCAACCTTATAAATATGTTCTTACACCCAGATGAGAGTGCCAATACTGGACACTGAAGCCCACTTACTCTAAAATAAGATAAATGAGACTGCATGTGGGTCAAAGTTAAGTAAAATAAGCTGCTAGCGCTTCCTCTAAGGTGCACGGTTTTCATGATCATGTGCATGAAATCAGGCAGTGCAGGGATTCTTTGGACTCTTTTTTCCCAAGTTTTGATATTTTAAATCATAATATTATAAAATCAAATAATATTTTGCAGGAAAAATGACACATCTATGACACTCAAAATTGTGAATGTTAAAACAAATGCATAATAGTAACCCCAAGACTCCTTCCACACGGAGTAGAGTTCACTCTGTCCAGCAGGGGAGTGGTCAGCAGATCACCTGCTGATCGGAGTTATGCGGGATGGAGGTCATATCCATGCCCATTCAATTTATGCAGAGCAGACATGGGCCGACTGCTGTTAGCCCTATGGGCGGTCACATGTAAAATGACTCTGCTGTTTACATCAGGCTCTCATATGGTCCAAAACAAAAAAGGATGCAGTCCTTAATCATTTTTTTTTTTTCCAGACCTGGGGGTAGGCAGGTGTAAAAAGACACAAGATAGTTTACACCCAGCTATCCATAGGGCTTCAGGGACTTTAGTGATCAGGTTCACCTGGAAAAAAATGATTGTGGACTTAATCAGAATGCCCATGTGAAAGGTGTCTAAATGTTATTTACTTTTAATCATTTTTTTTCTTCCCCCTAACAAAAAAGTCCAGATGCTAATGTAATTGTAGAACAACTACCTGCATGGAGGGAAACCACAATATCCACAGTGGAGCCTGGTTCACAGCTGCTATTACTGGGCTTCACTCTGTATTTGTCTGGGGCAGTTGTCCTCACCTAAAAGCAATTCAGATATTAAACTCCACAGTTATTATTTCAGAAATGACACAAAAGGTTTAAAAGGACCAGCCATAAATCATATATAATACATAGATTACTGCCAGTATGAGGGTGCTCAACCCGCTGTGGGCAGATCAATAAAATAAAAAAATATATATATATTTACAGTATGTATACTTTTTTACTTATACAAAGAAGGTAATCAGGCAATATGGAAGGACAAGAATTGGGTTGAATAGACAGATGGTGTGATTAGGCCCTGTCCAAGTCTGACAAATAAACGAAATCAATCCGCACTAACGCCGTTGTTCTAAAAATCTTTGTTTTATTAAATCGACCACAGTAAAAACATCACAGGTACAAAAGGTTGACACGTTTCGGCCATACAAGCCTTAGTCATAACCCATGCATGACTGGATGGGTTATGATTAAGGCTTGTTAAGCCGAAACGCGAAAACCTTTTTACCTGTGATCTTTTTACTGTGGTCTATTTAATACCATGGCGGTAGTGCGGATTGATTTAATTCTGGAACAGATAAGCAACTGTAGATCATGCACCTGCCTAGTTCCAGGATGAACATTGGATGGGTAGTAGCACCTTTTCTTTTTTATAATTGAAGTCTTAAAAACCAGTAATTCTGCCAGTAAATACCAGCTCATCAAGACTCAGGTGTTGGTGTTAACATGCTGCACTGCTCTTATAGTTCAGAACAGCATGATCACCCTCATGTAGGGCTATGCCTGCTTTCAATACAGTAGAATGGAAAGCTATTGAAGTGGAAAGTGGCTATCAACCTTGTCATTGTTGATTTACAAACCTGTAACTTATCAATCAGCAGAGGAAGATGAAAGAGCGCACAAACCTTGCGCATTACCTCAATAAATAGTGACTAATTTTATTGATAAGGAAATATACTCACAAAATGATTGTATAACAGGCATAAGTAACCATAATCCAAACAGGGTTACAGGTAAATCAAAAAGGGGGGGGGGGTGAAGGCTAACGCGTTTCAAAGGGTGCTCCATTCTTCATCAGAGCTGGGTTTGGCAGATAGAAACTTCAGTATGGCAGAGTTCCCATGGCAAGGAGATATTCAGCCACTGAGTGTCAGTATTACAGCAGTTCAGCCTGTTTAGTGGTAAGATAATCAGTGATAGGACACTAAACAGGCTGAACTGCTGTAATACTGACACTCGGTGGCTGAATATCTCCTTGCCATGGGAACTCTGCCATACTGAAGTTTCTATCTGCCAAACCCAGCTCTGATGAAGAAGGGAGCACCCTTTGAAACGCGTTAGCCTTCATCCCCCCCCCTTTTTGATTTACCGTTAACCCGGTTTGGATTATGGTTACTTATGCCTGTTATACAATCATTTTGTGAGTATTTCCTTATCAATAAAACTAGTCACTATTTATTGAGGTAATGCGCAAGGTTTGTGCGCTCTTTCATCTTCCTCTACAGTTTTATTAAGCTTCCCCAGCTTCATGATAGAGCTGCACAACCTCTGATCACCAGTGGATGAACACACAACGCGCTGCTTGTCACTAACGCCTGTTTGATCTGAGTCCTTGAGCGCAGGAGATAATGGATCTTTGGTGACTTATCAATCAGCACCTGAGCTGACAACACTTAGTCCTGCCCACTGATTTCTGGATTCACAGCACTTCCTCTGAATGAAGAAAAATATGGAGAATATAGACAATTTTATTTTTTTTTTTTTTACTTTTTAAAGGCACATCACACAGGATTTGTGACCTGTTAGAACTCCAGATCTGCATACTTGTTCCAGGGAAGTGACATTGAAGATGCTAGGTCAGCAAAAATCTGAAAGTGTAAGTTCAGTCAAAAGCAAAGGCTAAACCTACTCCCACCCCCATTCTTAGCTATTCTATGTAACCCTGTAAAGAAAAGATGGCTATATTTACCTGCTGTATTCTGAAGCTGCTCCCCAGTCAGGTCACATGATTTCTTCAGTGAAGGCTTTTGTATAGAGGATACATTGCCGAGAACGGCTGCAAATGCCTGGGAGATGATGTCACCCATAGGCTTACTGTGGGGCATCTGTTGTCGGTTGTCCACCCTCTACATTGATGCTGCTGACAGCTGATCATGGGACCAGAGCGGAGCCACTTCAGAACAGGCAAGTATACAGATCTGTTCTTTACACGGATAGATAGAATAGGCTAGGAATGGGAGTGGGAGTAGGTTTAGTCTTAGCTTTTGACTGAACGTCCATTTTAACCTCCAGGTTCCCCAATACAGTTAATAAACATGTGCTTAGAGAAGGTTTGATCATTTCCCAAATTACAATGACTTGCCTCTGAAATAAATATGTACAAAAGTAACAGCATTGTTTGTTTTACCTTAAAAGCCACTGTATTTTTGGTCACATTATTGAGAACAATAGTACATTTTCTTTCTCCGCTTTCCTTGGATCCAAAATGCAATTCTTCTGCAGGACTAACAAATAAACAACTCATTAATGTGATTACAGAAAAAAATACCTTTTTTTTTAATGAGAAATGACAGATGTTGCATAACGGTTTATTTTTACAGAACTTTCCATTTTGCAAGGGCAAAAAAAAAAAAAATTAAACAGTGCGAACCCTTTGGGAGTTTTACTTGAGAGGGAAACAGATGAAAACATCAACAGTGAGATGTGACTTTGGTGCACAAACGAGTTACATCAGCTAAAGCCAGAAAACACTTTTTTGAAGACTGAACAGGCTTGATGTCAGCAGTTTAAGAAACTTGTCAGACAGTCCCCACAGACATCAATTTAGGAGAGTAAACTTAAAACTCTCTAATCTCTGATCTTCTGTCATACCTAATGTGTAGTAAAGGTCCCTTAAAAACCGTTGACGCCTTCCTGTTGTTTTTTAGCTTTGAGTCGGTCTTTTCACTATCCTCGTGTTTGAAGAGATCTTCAGTGCAATTCATCTGTAATAGAGAAGACGATGCAAAGTTTAATGCAATCACAAAGCGCTATGATCAAAGTAAAATTGTGCATTACTATAAAAATGTTATAAGGTTTCATAGGAACTAAGGATATTTTGTAGTTAATTTGACATTAACACAGTATTCATGTTCTCACAGCCAATTAAGATTAACCACATTTTCTAAGAGCACCACAGAACAAAGCAGCTTCTTTTAGGCTGTGGACGCAAGGATAACAGCCAGCTTCTCCTTTATGTACCTACAGAGGATGGTTGGAAGAAATATTTCTATATACAGCAGATGCTTGAGTCATGAATAGATGCCATCAGGCCAAGTCAGCCACTGGGTTTTGAATCACTCAAGAACCTATAATAGTAACATCTATACACTTCAGTTCCCAGGTCCATTCACTTGCTAAAGAAGTGGAAGCTGATCACAATTTTAACTTTAATTTCATTTATTCGATTTAAACTAGACGAAGCAACAAGGTTGAGAGGTTTAGGAAGTGTAGAGATAAAAGTATAAGTTCACCTTTGGGAACGTTACCCATTTTTTAGGGCCATGGGATCTTCTCCCCGCACCTGCCGTTAACAGAGTTCTGTGAATGAATTTCTACAAGTATCGTCAACCTTTTCATCTGACAGCTTGTAGTTCTCAAGGAACTTGCAAGGGTGCTGGTGATTGCTCTTGTAGTCCAATGAGCTTCCTGAACTGAGGTTACTGTCTGCCCATATCGGAAGTATGGGCAGACAGCTACACTGACAGTCTGCAAGAGCAGGACATTGCACCCACAAACTGCTGATTGGAGGTGCAATGCTTTCAGGCTCCTAAGAAAAAAAAAATAAAATCGTAAATGCATTTTTTTTTATCTGCAAAAAAACAAAAAAAACCACAAAAAATTTGCATTTATGATTTTTTTTCTTTTTAAAAAAGGTGAATTATCCTTTAAAACCATTTTGTGAATAGGTCGTTGATGACTAGATGTTCAGGTCAATTTGGTTAACATGACTATAAAAGGCCTTGTTCTCATTCTCTCTGGGCAGTTGTGCCACAGTTTTCTTCAGGGCTTCTCAGGGCTGCACACATGCTGTAACAAGAGTGATACTTCTGTCAAGTGAATGGGGCTGTGTTGCAACTGCCAACGTTGTGGCGCAGTGGTGTGGATTTGTAAGGGTTAAAGTGTTACGAAACCCAGGACCCTGCATTCACCATATCTGGTCCCCCACAGTACACAGAACTTAATATTGCAATTATTTTTTTTTATTATTTTAGTAAATATAAACTGCTAAATACCTTTTCTCATCATAAGTCACAAGACTGCTCTAACTGCTACCAGCGTCCAGCCAAGCACTGGTTAAAGCTTGCAGGAGGTGGTTTCATTCTGCTCTAGGAGGATGCAGAACCCCCTGATCCCTGTCTGAACAGTGCTGAATAGCCCTGTGCTGATCACATGCAGTCCCCCACGAAAAAAAAAAAAAAGCAAAACAAAAAACCTCCGTAGCAATACACACCAAACTGAGCATGTGCAGAGTGACTCCATAAGATATGTCTTATCAGGAGATAAAGAGGGGGGCACTGGAAGAAAGGGAGGATCAGAGAAGTCAGGATCAAACAGCATTTTTACACAATGCAGAGGATTAGCCCTTAGGTTCCACAGTGAGTATAACAAGCATGTTTTACTGCATATACAGACTGATTTTACTGTTGTGGGTTTAGTAACACTTTAAAACAGCTGCTGAGGACAGAACATATGGTCTCCCAGTCAACCTCTAAAATGTAATACACTGCAGATTGCTTTTCTGAGGGGTGGTAAGGACTGCCACTAATGTAAATGCGCTTGAACTGAATATTTGTCTACCTCATTTCTTTCTTTCTTTTTTTTAAGGACATACAGTATAATGTTTATAAATGGATAAAAAAAATAAAAACACCTTATTCTTTTTATTAGTACTTTACCTACCTGTATTGTTGGAATTTACAGTATTAAACAGCGGCATCCACAGGGTAAAGTTTTATTTTTGTAAATGAACTTAAAGTATATCTTCGCTTACATAGTAATCACATCACTGTGAACTACTTTGGCTCCTGATTGTCAGTGAGGACGAAGCCATACTTCTGACTTTTTTTACATACCCTCAGTTCTACCATCCCAGATCAATGCTGACGCTTATTCACAGCATGCCTTGTATTAAACGGTTTTTGGAAACAGTTAAACTAATGAATTTAGCAGATACTGCTGCAAATAATAACTGACAGTAGATGGTTAAAGCAAAATGTAAAGTGTAACTGAAGTCTCCTTCATAACAGGCTGCGAGCAGGCAGGTTATTACCACAGAAAAGACATACAATGTCACTTTTGCAATAATATGCACCTACGTCCAGCATGTTCACTGAGCTACGCATACACTGGTCAGCTTAGAGCTCTAGGAAGATCCCCGTGTGCTGGATGAGGACTCCTGCACATGCACAGGTGTGACATCATTCTGTGTCGACCAATGAAGATGGCTGAAGACTGACACATGGAGGAAGATGCTGGTGCCGGCGAGGGATGGGGACTGTTGGAGGAAATGTAAGTAAGGCGTGCTTTAGTTTTGCTTTAACTGTATGTGAGCTCCAGAAACTGAAAAAGCTATTTCCTTCATTTTTGATATTGAAAGCAAATTCCCATCAATACATATCTCTAGGCTTTATATTGTTGAGAAATCACTTTGAAAAACACCCCCTAGCATCTCTAGCGGCGCCATCCTGAGTAAGGGCAGATGATACAAGTAGCCCTTATTCCTGAAATCCATCTGTCCTTAGCTCAGGCAGGAGCATGTGCTTAGCCGAAGAAGCCCCTCCTCCATTTCCAGAATGAAGCCTCATGGGACCATACCATCCTATTTACTAATGCCAGCAGCATAAGGATTCAAAATAGTTAATGTTGATTGAGAGCGCTTGGTTCTGCTTTAAAAAAGTAGAATTCACAAGCGTTCCCAAAAATATAAAACGTTCTCTGATGGGAGGAGCTGGACAGGCGCGGTGGTGCAAGGTTACTTGCAAATCTGGAGGTTTTAGCAAGATAAAAAGGCACCTACTGTACAGCATGTTTCTGCTTACCTCATAATTGTGATTAAGCACCTTTTGGTGTAAAATGCATCAAAGCATTAAGTTGAAGCCTGCTGTGCAAATGCCTTAAACCCTCAAAATTTGCAATCTACCTTCCAGGACCATTACTTCTGTTTATATATTGTTTGCCTTATGCAGAGCTGAATTCCTCATCATAGTAGTGTGTGCCACTGGGATGGAAGTTTAGACATTTCAGACTTAACTGGCTATATTTTTTTTTTGCTCAGTGACTTTGTAAATATCGAGGGCAGTATTAGAATGGTGGCATTGGATTTTTTTTTATTTGGCAAGTTGGCAAAGACCATTTCATATTCTTAACCGTAAAGGGTTATTTTAGGATGACTTTAATTAGTTTCGCTATTTTTTGTAAAGATGACCAAGAGTCAAGTGAGAAATCTGGGCTATGTTTTTATTGCCAATGCAGTCATATAAAAACAAAAATCATAAATGTTTAATTGTATGGTTAGTTGACATTCAAAAGTCCCTGGTACAGAAACAGCACAGGTTATATTGAAAAAATGGTAACATTTTTCTTGGTTTTCCTGCCCCTTTCCTAAGCATATAAACTCCTTAGCACAGCAGAGAGAGATTTGGTCGCTTTTTGGAAGCGTTACAAGCCTGTTTGAGGAGACGAGGAATATGAAATAATTTTCCCTTTCCATTCTACCTGTAAACTGTGGAAGGCCTGAATGCATGTCTAAATAGTAGACGGTGGTTTTAATTGTCCCTGTTTAAAAGGTCTAGCCTACATGAAAATGGGTATTTATGTGTGGCAGCACAAACACTAAATATAGGCCTGTTCTACGTGCCAGTATTTCACATCACAAAAATAGCGGCAGGTAAAAAAAAAAAAAAAAAAGTTTAATTTCCTCTCTAACCCCTCCCCCAATTAATGGCATCCAGCCTATTTATCCTGCAGTTAGAACAGTTTCCACTATTTAATGTATTTAAGGGTTTGCAAACAAAAAGACTATATTACCACCCCCAGGCACAAACACGTGGGAGACAGTCCCATAGGATCCTATGTGTAGCTATGGCACAGGCACCAGAAAACAGAAAAGATGGGGTGGTTAGGTTAGCACAGTGGGGCAATATGGAAAATGCAGTTAAAAGAGGTAAATATAACCCTGAGTGCATGTTCTGAAATGTGTGCTGGAGTGGCTTCAGAATAGGTAAGTATAGTGATCTTTTATTTACAGGATTAGATAGAATGGTGGTTGGAGTAGGTTAGCGTTAGTGAGGTGTTGACTGGAATACCACTTTAAGCCACTCCCACGGCTAGGCACAAACGGACTATGACCACAATTTGCCACGGTGCACAGCAGAACTTGTTTCTCTTCTACATCTCAACGTGCCCCAGGTCTTCCACAGTCCCAGTCATGCTTATATTTTGTCACAGTTTTTACTTTGTAATTGTAATGTTGGGCAGATTATTTGTTATGGGTATGGTCAATATTTAGATATTGTTTATACTGTTTAAGTTTCGATTCTCCTTTAGGTTTAAACGCTTCTAAAAAGAAATTTGCCATATTTCTTGTTGTCAGTAAAAAAAATTTGCTCTGTCAGTAAATTTTTCATATTTAGTCAGTAAGAAAAGTAGTGGGGCGGCTGGCAACTCTGGAAAAGAGCAGAGTGACCGTGTCGCTTTCCCTGTGCAGTCCTGACTGTGCTGTCTGGCAGGGCTGTGTAAATCTCAATAAATTAGACAGTATTACAAAAAGGTAAAACAGCTGTCATATGCATTTCATTTGTGGATTAAGGCAACTCTCTGAAGTTCAGCTTTAAATACAGGTATCTGAATACACATCATTGCCTCAGCACATAGGATAATTATAAGATTATGACAGTCAAATAACCTTGCTATCTCCATGCAGTTTTTCACCCTAAACTACTGC